TATTCATTTCTGACATCGCACCAGGAAACGATACAAGCAGAGCAAGACGCTACGAAGAAAGCTCTAGCCGAGTGGCGGGCTATTCCTGATAAGATCGGTAGGTTTGCCTTTGTAAATCAATAGGGTTGTCTGCTGATGCCCCATAGCTTCCAAGCAGGCCCAATTGGACGATCATAAGCAGCACAATGCAGAGACGAATGAGCGCATCCGTGAAATCAAAACACAGGCTCGTGAGACATCATTACGCGTAGCGGCACTAGCTCTAGATTATGCTGTACGTAGTAACTGTCTTGCTCATCATATCTTACTGACGGTCATGCAGAAAGCTGTGACGCATATGCGTACATTTCATGAATCGCTCATTGAAGCCGAGATTCGGTTTATAGAAGCCAAGTCAGAGCTCAATGCATTGAGAAATGAAAACAGTGCAATGATCCAAAGGCAACAGACGAAAGAAACCGAGGTTCAAGAACTTGGCAGTCGCATCAAACGTCTTAGCGAAGAGTACAAAAAGAAGACAGCAGCTACTCAACAAGACATTGAAACCTTGACCGAAGAGGAGAAGCAGATTGTCTTAGAGTATCGCGAACTCCCCTCATTTGACGACCTCGAGCAGGAAGTTCAAGCTGTCGCTGCACGGCTGGAGATGATGGCTGAAGGCAACCCTGGTGCTATCAGAGCTTACGAGAAGCGCGAAGAGGACATGAACAGAACGCGAGAGAAGCTAGAGCAGTACACGGCTAGCCTCGCTGAGATCAGGGAAAAGATCACAGAGATTCGTGAACAATGGGAGCCACAGCTTGATGCCCTCATCAGCAAGATAAGTAATGCCTTTGCATACAACTTCCAGCAGATTGGATGTGCTGGCGAAGTCGCTGTGTTCAAGGATGAAGAGGACTTTGATAACTGGTCTGTTCAGATCTCAGTCCGCTTCCGGTATGCCTCAGCCATTTCATCTACATGCGCGTATAGCTAACACACGCCAACAGTGAAAACGAGCCCCTCAGTGTCCTTAATTCCCACCGTCAATCCGGTGGCGAGCGCGCTGTCTCCACCATTTTCTACCTCATGGCTCTCCAGGATCTCGCCCAGTCGCCTTTCCGTGTCGTTGACGAGATCAATCAAGGTATGGATCCGCGCAATGAACGAATGGTGCATGAGCGCATGGTAGATATTGCCTGCCAAGAGCGTACAAGCCAATATTTCCTTATCACCCCAAAGCTCTTGACTGGTCTCAAGTTTCATCCCAAGATGAAGGTTCATGTCATCAATTCTGGAGAACATATTCCCGACTCGAAGACTGTCAAAGGGGGTTGGGATCTGAACGACATGGCCAAAATTGCGCTAAGAACAAGGAAGGGTATTACGGTTACTTGATTGAGGATGTTTGCTGGTGTGAGCACTAAGCAAATCGGCTTCGCTTCGTTTTTCCATCTCTTTCCGCGTTTGCTTCCATCGAGGTCAAGATGTATCACGTCGCATCAATAGTCTCACTGCGCCGCAGTTCTAGCCATGAACCTGCCACAGCTCAGACTTCCAAGGAACACGCCTCCGAGCACCGACATGAAGTATCCCACATTCATTGTCATGACAGCTATCATGCTGAGTGATGTGTTAATATGCGGATCTTGCGACAACATCGGTGTCGCAAAGAAGGGGAGAAAGGAGAAGCAAGAGGAAAGACTTACAGCAGATACGACACCCCGGCAAGGATTACATCGAGACTCGCAACCCAAACCGCCTCATCGGCTCTCCAGCGTCTCTTTTCCAGTCTTGCTTTATCTTCAATCTCTGGCTGTCCCTTGGCCTGCGCTAGTACCGCGAATAAGTTGAAACGGACAGCAACCAAGGCGCGGAACAGGGCTGCAAGTGCAATGAGGAATATACACGTTCCTGCATATTGGCCTGGGGTGGCAGGAGTCCAGGATGCGGAGAAGAGGGACGTGCTGGTTGAAGTGAAGAAGGTCATGGACATGGTGGACATGTGCATTCCCGACATTCCTGACATTGTGGCATTGGAGTCAGTGGACGTTGTTGACGTTGACATGTGCATATTGGTAGCCGCCCGTATGGTTCTTCTGCAGACGTCTCTATCTTCTTGATCGAGATGCTCGAGGTGGTGGTGTGTAGGTAAACCAACAGATGATGCAAAAATATATTACTACCCGAACAAGCTTTTGCTCGCCAGATAACCTTGTTCCGCTGGTGTATGACAGAGAAATCGTCGTTTGAAGAATCACTTGAAAAAAAAAGTACACAGTTGACCAGAACTCACTGTCGTCGCAACCGCCCAAGCCCACTGATATACCCGCACCATCTTGCCAAACCGGACAAAGGCACGAAAACAAACTCTCTTTACCTCCAAGCATCCCAGTTCCAAGGCCCCTCGATATTCCCCCAGCACACGCACTACCCCCACCCACCCAACACGGACCAAACAATGCGCGCTGAGAAAACTTGCTCAATCGTGCTCATAGTACGCTTACCCCGCCCTCATTGGCCCATCAGCAAAAAGATAATATGCACACCCTAGTAAAAACAACGCAGAACTAAGCATTTGCAAGGGTTGGAGTTAAGCTTTGATAAGCTTATTCGGTGCGGTTGGGATGCTTTGGGTGCGTGGAGGTGGTGTGGTGGTGGAGTTGGAGGGGGTAGGGGAAAGGGGTTAGATAGACTTCACCCCGACATGCATGCTTAGTCCTTTGAACTCCCTTTTTTTTGTTTCTCTTGTTGGCCTTGGGTCTACTTGTCTGTTTATCCTCTGAGGTCCCCATTGCACATACATATCTTGGTTGAAAGGAAAGAAGAGCAAGAAGAAGAGTAAGAAGAGACAATGAGCGAAGCATGGATCTCCATCTCTCCCGGTATCTCAGGCATGCGCATGTTCGAGTGTGGAACTAAAACTGCAGAGGAGTGTGCGTGGTATAAGCATCGATGGCACTTTTGGTATGTAGCAGATTACGTATTTGCGCTGCCGACTGTTGCGTTTTTCATGAGTGGGATTGGGGTTTTCGTTGTTGCGTACGTTATTTCTAGGTTGTTTTTGCGGCAGAGGAAGGCAGGACGGGGTGTGTTAGTGAGGAAGGTGGTGGCGGGATCGAGGTATTTGGCGTATCGCGGGTTCCATGTTAGGCGGTTGAAGTGGAACTCTGCGCCGGTTGGAGTGTTGTTGCTTGGTGCGGCTGGTGTGGTGTTCTTTTTTTGTAAGGAGCCCTTTTTTGAGAATATCGGATTTGGGTATCGAGTACTGACTTTTGGTAACAGGTATGGACCTGATACCGCAACCGTACTATTGGGCTAGCAAGAAGTTTGGTAATTCACCACCATTGGCTACACGGTCGGGATGGCTGGCGTTGGGATGCATGCCGTTTCTCTTGTACGTTTTGTAACTGACATGGTAGTACTAATCCTCTTTACTAATTGGCATCAGTGCTACGGCGAGCAAAACGAATTGGATCACACTGGTCACCGGAGTATCGTATGAACGACTTCAAGTATTTCATCGATGGATTGCATACGCCTTTTTCGTTCTTGCGCTTATGCACACATTTCCCTTCATCGTATACCACATCCATTGGCACGATATGGAGCATCATTTCTCGAACAGTCTGCTATTCTACTGGACGGGGATAGTAGCGCTCGTCTTTCAAGCATGGCTGACGTTCATGTCGCATAGTGTCTTTCGGTTAGTAGTCTTCCCATGAGCTCGAGTTTCGTACATAACTAATGCACCACCCAGAAACCGTGGATACGAACTCTTCAAAGCAACACACTTCTTTGCTGCCGTCGTCTTCATGATAACCTTCTTCTGGCATTGTGATCAAACGCTGACTAGTTGGGACTACTTCGTTGCTACGGCTGCCATATACGTTCCTTGCTACGTATACCCATGGCTTCGCACGGTATTCGAATACAAGTGGACTCAGCGAGCACGGGTCACAGTTGAGGATAACGGGTTCATCCGTGTTGCCATTCCGGCGACGTTCCACTGGACTCCGGGCCAGCATTGCTTTCTACGCTTTACGAGTTTTGGTTTCCTATCTACCCTGACTGCTCACCCATTTACTATTTGTTCTACACCTGCCAAGATGTCGGCAGAATCTAATGAGCTGGTGTTTTACATTCGCCGTCAGGGGGGGTTCACAGAAAAACTATATCAGCATGCGTTCACTAAACCCGACGGCGACGTCCCGGTTCTTGTGGACGGTCCTTACGGCGGTGTTAGTTGGCTAAAACTGCGTAATGCAGACCGTCTTCTAGTTATCGCTGGTGGATCTGGTGCCGGCTGGACCTTGCCATTCGTTGAGTATTTTCTTCGATCAGTTGCAAATTTCACCGACGAAGCAGCACCTCGTACCTCCTATACGGCCCCGACATCGCTACGTGTTGTACTTGCGACCCGCGATACCAAAAGTCGCTTGTGGTTCGAGCAAACCCTGCAAACTATACTTGCACAATACCCAACTGCAGTCTTATCATCCGTCCAAATCGAAGTCCACCTCACTGGTGAAACCGCAAATCAAGCTGACATCCTGCCAAAAACAGTACATCCATCAACCCGTTCATTGCCATCTGAAGCTTCGAATGACATCGTAGTTGGCACCGAGAAAGAAGGCGAGACACTTGTATCAGGCAAAGAACACACGGGTCGACCACAACTACCGCTCATCGTGCAGGAAGAGGCGGAGAAAGCAGCGGATGCAGATGAGACGCTGAACGTGTACATCTGCGGGCCGAAGACGATGCAGAATGATGTGCGAAATGCCGTTGCAGCCGAGAACCTGAAGATCATCACTGGTGCGAGGAGCGGGGGCGTGTATTTACATACTGAGCACTTTTCATGGGCATAGATTCGATGTCCGTATATACTCTCTTCGTATTCGAATTCATCTCACATATTAAAGATGTATTACATCCCCTTTGATTACATCCATACCACCTTCCACTTAACCACCCCCACCTTACTCCCACTCGCTCCTTCCCAGAACCCCCTTACCCCCCTACCCCTCCCGCCTCGACAAACTCATTCCAGTCCTCGCGTTCCTTCCACCACCCCACTCATCCCCATCACTGTCATCATCCTCTTCTTCTTCTTCTTCATGCTCTCTCTCCTCCCTTGCCTCCCTCGACCCTCTCGCCGCCCCTGCCTCTCCTGTCTCTCCTTCAACAACAATCTCCACGCGACTCTCCAACACCACATTCTCCTTGTTTCTCCTCTCTACACCCAACTCAACATCTCCGCCAGCGTTGGCTTGGCGCCGCGCACGCGCGAGACGGCGTTGGCGCCCAAAATATGTGAGCTCGAGGAGGAGAAAACAGAGGAGGATGAATACTATGATGCAGGCGGTTATTATGCCGGCTTTTGTGCGGGAGTTGAGGTGGGTTTTGGAGTGGGAGGATGAAGGGCGGGTCGAGGAGGTTGAGGTTAGTTTTTGGGAGGTCTGGTTGGGGGTGTTAGAGGAAGAAGTTTGGATTTCCACGATAGAGAACGATGGGGATGTATACCTTGAAGTCTGTTTCAACATGGCTATTGTATTTTTGTGTGACTTGGTTTGAGTTTCTTCTAGCAAGTAACATGGTTTTGGATACGATAACTGATTCATCCAGCGGATTTATATATTTTGGATTTTGCAAATGATGGAGAATATTGGATGGACGTGGAGTGACACGCGATCAGGTAAAGAGGAGGAGGAAGGGTAGAGATCCATATCTCCTGATATCCTACTCAATACACAAACACATCCTAAAGTCCTTTCACTGCATGAACAGCTTGCCGCAGTGCTACCTGCGGTACTACTTTACGCCACTCCACCTCCATCGTGATAGACATTGCAACCAAGAAAACCGAACATCGAGGAAGCGTAATTTTTTTTGAGAATGTATAGAAGTAAACACAAAGTCCGAATAAAATATGAATACAAAAAAAGGTATAGTCACTACGTAGACGTGAGACTACAAAGAGAAAAGCAGCAAACTACGCTAACAGAGCACGAAAGCAGTTGTCATGTATACTTTTGTAACTCCTCCTCCCACCACTATTATCGTCCCTGCTTGAACCATTATCGTTGTTGGGCAGAAAAGCAAGGAAAAAAGAATTAACGCCGTGCATGCAAAATGAAACAACGCCTCTTTTCGCACCCCCCCCCC